AGCTAGATAAAGATAAACTTGCATTGAGCCTTATTTTTATCCAGATTGAGATCTTCTCCTATTCTAGGACTCTAGTCCCTTATCTACTTATCTTGGATTCCGACATCTCCGCAAATAATCTCGGCCTAGCAGAGATCATCTTGGCAGCTTACCAGGCCACGTGGCATTTCACCTGACCCTTCGGCGTCACCTTAGCCACATGCTATCATTCACAAAATACTTTCCTACAGTGACCATTATTTTTTTAAAAAATTCTAATTTATTGTAGCTGCAAATATAATGTCTAGAACTCTTATTGCTATTCCTCATTATCTTAAATTGGGTAGATAGAAAGTGACGGGAAATAATAATTTTTTTTTCCCTTTGAGTTTGTTTAATATGAGTGAGTCGGAAACTGAATAAATTATTTCTTTTTATAATTCATATCAACATGATAACTTGATTTCTGCTTTATTGCAAATAATATATTTTTTTCCCATGTTGAAATAATCAACCGTTATAACTTGGATGAATTATATTTTTCACCATTCAACTTTCATTCAAATTTTAATTTGTTTAATAGGGAGTCACTGTAACTCCTTTATATATATATATATATATATATTTTGTTTTGCTTTGTTTAGAGACTGCAATACACATTTATGATTTTTATTTTTTTAAAATTTATAATTAAGAATTATATTTTAATAAAATAAAGAAAAAATAAGGAGTTTGTTAATAGAATAAGGAAAGAATATGGAGAATGTTAAAAAAAAGTAAATGAAAAAGTAATTTCTAAAATATACAATAAATTTTTTAATAATATTTTAAGATAAAATTTAGATAAATTTGGGGATGCTCTTAATTATTGCAAAGTGCTCAAAATTTGACTCCAGTTTCAATGTAGTTTACGTGACATTCACCGTTAAAAAAAAAGAAAAAGAAAAGCTCACGTGATGATCACAAAAGAACATTTAAAAGTGTTACTATTAGAGCAACTCCAAGGGAAGAGGCATATTAATCCTGTTAGCTATTTTAGCTAATATTACCCTAAATTCTCACTCCAATCGGCTGGATAATTTTGAGACAGTTCAAATCACAATTAAGCACACGCACCCACTACATAATGAGTTAGGGTTTATAAGAGCACCCACGTCTATTACCACCTATCCATCTTTTCCAAATCTCACCTTCAAAATCTATCTACCCTCAAAATCTTGAAAACAATATTTTGGTGGCAACAGTTGCAATCATTTGATTATATATATTTCTCCAGCAATAATAATGAGTGAAAGTTTTTTTGATAATCACAACTCCATGAGACGAGAGGAGTACAATAATAAAAACTTAGAATAAGTCATAACTTTGATGGTGTTCTTAGCTCAGAGGAGATTGACCTTATAAGAGTAAGTTTCTTAAAAAAAAATGGCAAAAATAATAAAAACTATTCGTCATTTTTTTAGGACTGAATTCCGAAACATGACCGAAATTCGGAAATACAGGCCCGAACATTGTTTATTTGTTCCAAAACAGGTAACCGAATATTTCTTATTTGTTCAGGAATAGATAACCGAAACTGCAGAAACAGACAAATAAAAGAGGTCGGACCACCATTGGGTGGTTGACTGGAGGCTCGACCGGTGACTGAAATCTTGCCCAGTTTTGCTCACACAGAGAGTATACAAGTATAGTGAGGTCATAAATGAATGATAGAAAACCAACTATAGAAGTATGAAAGTAGACTATGTTGTGTGTGTGAAAACAGATAATAGAAAAAAAAAATCAAAAAGATTGACAAATCATGTAACGAAGCAGAGAAAAAATTTCTTAATCACTACAAATTTTTTCCATTAGTTTTGGGAGGTTCCACCATCGTAGTTTTTTTTAGGATTTTGAGAGAGAAGTTTTTTAAGGTGTAGGGGTATGCATTTAAATGGGTGTAATGTTTTTACAAAGATAATTTTGGTATTATTTGGGGAGAAAAGAAAATTTAAGAATGGTGCTATTAGCGCCCCATGAATTATTTTGGATCCCCACGTATAAATTTTGAAACTCTTAGGGTGTGTTTGGTAACATTTACGTTTTCAGTTTATATTTACAAAAATTTTATAAACTGATTTTTGTTTACTTTTTGTTTATTTTTAGAAAAACATAAACTACAAACGCGTTTGGTAATTGACAAAATGTTTAAAAAAATTTAAAAATATAAAAAAGAGTGAGAAATGGCAAGTGGTGGCAAGTGGCGGCGGAAGACGGTGGTGGAAAGTAGTGACGGTGGGTGGTGACGGGTGGATGGTTGTGGTGGATGGGTGGGTAACGGTGGCGGATGGTGGGTGGTAGCGAGTGGGTGGTGGTGGTGGTGGTGGTGGTGGTGGTGGCAGGTGGATGGCGGATGGCGGGTAGGTGGTGGGTGGGTGATGATGGCGGGTGGTGGGTGGTAGCGGGTGGGGGGTGGTGGTAGGTGGGTGGGTGGTGGTGGGGGGTGGTGTTGTGACGGTGGCGGGTGGTGGGTGGTAGCGAGTGGGTGGTGGTGGTGATGATGGCGGGTAGTGGGTGATGGTGGCAGGTAGGTGGCGGATGGCGGGTGGTTGTAGGTGCTAGGTGGTGGCGAGTGGTGATGGTGGGTGGGTGGGTGGATGGGTGACAGCGGCGGGTGGTGGGTGGTAACGAATAGGTGGTGTCCGTTGAAAAGTATCCGACACATATCCCATACCCTTGTCCGACTCTACTTCATAAATTATTTTGAATCCCTTATTTCTTTGGGCTCCACATATAAATTTTGAAACCGTCAAAATTTCTTTTCCCCCCTAAAATAATACTAAAATTGTTATTGTAAAACTATTTTACCCATTGAATGCACACCCCCACACCCACACATCCCAAAAAAACCCCTCTTCCAGAAAACCTTAACAAAACCCATCAAGAAGAAGAAGAGCCAATGTGATTACTGTCTCTACTATCTCATCCACCATTATCACAGTTGGTATGCTTTCTCTCTCTATATATATACATAATTTCTCTTGTAGGAAAAAAATTGTAATAATTTGTTTGGTTGATTTTGTTGGTAGATATTATAAAATTGTGAGTTCAACAGAGAACTACGCAACAATAATATCAAAGTTACGCGATGAAAATAACTTTTGAACCTGATAATAGATTTGGGTTACGTCTGATAACTTTTGCAAGTGTTAAAATATTTTACCATTCAATATGTTAAGAAATTTTCATGTTCGGGCCTACATTTCCTGAACATTACTTATTTGTTCGGGAATGCCTTCCCGAACTAATAAGTAATGTTCTGGCCTAAATTTCATAACTTTAAAAAATGAAAACTTCTGCAAGTATTAATAATTTTGACTGTTCAATGTGTTAAGAAATTTTCATGTGCGAACTTGCATTCCCAAACAAATAATAAATATTTGGTTACTTGTTCCCGAACACATAAACAATGTTCAGGTCTGCGTTCCCGAATTTCGGTCATATGTTCGGGAGTTTAGTCCCGAAAAAATAATGAACATATTTTATTATTTTTGTCACTTTTTTCGAAAAACTTACCCTTACAAGGCCAATCTCCTCTGAACTAAGAACAACATCAAAACTACGAAGCTTCTCTAAGGTTTTATTGTTGTACTCCTCTCATCTTATGGAGTTGTTGTTACCAGAAAAATTTCCATTCATTGTCATTGTTGAAGAAGTGTAAGTAGTCAAATGATTGTCATTGCTACCACCGAAATATTGTCACCAAAAGGTTTTTAAGGTTTTGAGGGTGGGTAGGTTTTGAATGTGTGATTTGGGAAAGATGGATGGGTGGTGATGGAGGTGTGTGCTCTTATAAACTCTAATTCATGATATATTGGGTGTATAGGTTTAATTGTGAGATGGGGTGCCTCAAAATTAATGATGTACCTTGTAACAATTTTATTTGAGGTTATTATCGTAGTAAGAAAAAGTTAAAAATTGAGGGGTTCAAAATAATTTATAAAAAGTTAATAGCAGCATTCAAATTTAAAGGTTTTACAATTTATAAGTAAGAGTCTAAAAAAAATAGTAAGTCCAAAATAATTGATAGAATACTAATAGCAGCCCCCCATTTTAAGGATATTATGAAAAAAAAAAAAAAAAAAAAAGAGTATACTTTCACCCTAACGTTTCATTCACATTTCATTTTCGTCTTCATGTTTGAACTTTTATTAAAATTTAAATAGCAATGTAAAAATAAATGACTAAAGTAAAATTTTGATAAAAGTTAGATAATGAAAAATGTAATTTACTTTCATCTTAATGAAATGCATATTATAATTTTTGTTTTGTTTTTCACTTAACTTTATCATTTTTTACTTTTCATTGTGTTTTTTTCCCTTTAATTAATTTAACATACATAAATAAATCAATCAATCTAAAAAAAAATAAAAAAATAAAAATAACATTGGTGTAGTAATCAAAATGAAGAATAAAACAAGAAGCTTAAATTAAAGTTTGGCCTACATGAAATTATCTCATGGTCATATCGATTACTTATTTTCTGTACTTTTATTTTCTTGAATAATATAACTAAATATTTGCACTAATAACTAACAATTACAGAAATGATTTCATTCAATTTTATAAATAAAGCTATATATCATCGAAATAGTTCACCAAAACTTTTTACCTCCTATGTGAATTATCTAAATTTTTATATGATACGGCAAAACTATATTTACTAAATATTACGGATCTTATATATATATATATGACTTTCATTGAATTAAACCTAATTTATGCACATGTACTGTTTAACTCACAGTAAGCTTTCCAAGAGGAAAACCTTTCACAATTATTTTTCCTTCATCCCAAACAGCCCCAAGTCTAACTAAAACAGATATATCAAATTACATATTCTATACCAACCTCCCAAAATTTTTTGACTAATTAATTTAAAAAATATATATAGAATCAGTTATGAATAGGAGGCTTCTTTCTTGCAGGAGTGTAGTCCATTGTCATCAAGTCTTGGTCGTCCCGTAACCCCTTTTCTTTTGTCTTAAATTTAACATCCTCACCCTTTTCAGCTTCATAAGTAGTTTCTGTATAAAATCTTCTTGCTGCATTAACAATCATAAAATTAAAATGAAAAAAATAAAAAAAAAAACCCAGAAAGAAAAATGAAAAAAAGAAGAAGGTATAGCTTGTATGAATCTCCATTTGGGATTTGTATTTATGAGATCTTTTGGAGATGATAATTGAAGAGAGAGATACATAAGAAATAAGCTTTATACCTGTAGCTGTGATGGAGGATATAAAGCAAAGCAAGAAAAAAGCCACCAGAACAAGGCGCTTGCATGGCAACACACCCATCTTAATTAATTTTGGTTTAGAATTTGAGTCTCTCTCTCCCTCTCTCTCTCTAGATTGATTGATCTTTCTCTCTCTATCTTTCTCTGCTTGTGTGTGTGTGTAGCTTCTCTACAAGGACTTGAGCATTCTTTTCTTATATAGACAGACAGTAGGGTAGAAGATGTTAATCATGTCGTAACCCTAACCCTAATAAGTAGTAATGCCATGGCCCTCATGGGGGGTCATACACAGTCCACATCAATGTTTTTGGAGTCTTGCATCAGAAATTCTTGCATGATGTGCTAACTGTATATTATGGTAAAAGACCACAAATCAAAATACCCTGTTATTACAGTTCTTTGTTGAAGATGAAAGTGATCTGAAAGTAGAGGAAAGAGGAAAAAAAATATGAGTTTGTTTAGTATAAAATTGGTGAAAGTTAGAAGAAAATTATTTTTATTAGCATTGTAACTAACTTTTTAATTTCTTGTAAAAAATACAAGAAAATATGAATGTGTCCATACAAGTAGTTGAAAAAAACAAAAAAATTAAAAATTAATGAAAACTTGTCACGAAAAAAAAAAAGAAAGAGTAATGAAAGTTTGAAAAGAAAAAGAGAGAATGAGGATCATTTATTTATTTATTTATGATCAGCGGAGAAGGAAACTCATTTAATTTTGATAGCAATTCAAGTCTTGTAGAACGTGAAGACTGGACATTTAAATCAAAATATGTAGGACTAAGATATTTTTACTCAAGTTCTATATGTATTTTTGTATGATTTTATCAACTAGGGAAAAAAATACAGATTTATAAGAAAATAAAAACGTAACAGTCATAACAATTATAAAGACGCTGTAATTTTACGGCCTTTACATAATAGTGGCGGTTGTTACAATTTTGAATTTTTATCACACCGCTATAACGGCCATAATGGATGGCAATAATCACCATTGCCATTACGTAATGTAGCGGTTGCAACCGGTTTTAAAATCATATGTGCGGATGTTGGATCACGATCATGAGTTTGCCTGGAATATGGATGTAAGTTAGAAGTGCTTATTTAACGGTTGAACCAGAACTATTTTGTTGTAACGGTTGAACCCTTTAATTTGTTGCAAGTCTGAGTGGCATTTTCTATTGTAATGCATGTTGATTTATTTTGCATTGTTTGTTATATATTCATACCACATAGATGATGAATATAGAATGTACCTAATAAAGAGAAACTCATGTTTTGAATGACATCCATATGTTCATCTTTATAGAGAGTGGTTTATGTGTTTTTTCTCCTGTCTATTCCACAGGTATCTTGGATTACTCTTGTGAGTTCTCTTCTTTTTTTTTTCTTTTTTTTTTTCCATAGGTATCTTGGATTATTCTCGTGAGTTTGGATTCTAAAAATCCAAGTGTAACAAAAAATCATAAGACCCACATATTCCCTCCACTTTGAATCCCACATTTAATAATGCAGACAAATATGTGACCTTAGATGTTGGCATGAGTTTTGATGATTTTGTGATATATACATGTATATAAAGTAGATAGTAATATTCAAAAAAGGAACCTATTATCACTTCCTATGTTTTGGCAGAAAATATTTTTAAATATTTTTTCTTATGTTTAGTTGTATTTGTAAAACTAATGTACTAAGTTATGGCCCATTATGGGAATATGGATTAAAAGTTAAAAACCAATTTTTAACTCATTTTAGGTTATATCACCTCTCATACAAAACGGTAAAAAAAGTTTAAAAAATTAACTTTTAACCATCTTCCTAAAACATCTTTATATTAATGGTGGTGGGGGTGGAGTGGAGATGGTAATGGTGATGGTGATGGTGATGGTGATGGTGATGGTGGTGGGTCATTTAATGGGTCAATACTGCATTGGTAGTTAAGCATGGGTGGTGGTGCCCGTCCAAACTGCCACCCTATACCACCACGCCACGACCTCGACCTCCACATTTGTCCCATCATCGCTAGCACCATCAAATATAAAAAAATGTTTTACTCTGAAAAAAAAAAATAGTAAATACATTTTTCGTACAAACAAAAGCGTAAAAGAAAAATACTATACAAATACTTACTAACTGAGGAGTCTAGTAAAATTTTGAAATTTAAAATAAAACTTATTTTAATGATTTGATAGATACCACATTAATAAGTAAAAGAAAATTATAAAATTTATCAAATTCATATAAAGTTAATCTAGTTAGTCTTGTCAAAAAAAATTGTGTTGCAATTATTAGATAAACGAATTCATGTGAGTCGAGTAGGGAAATTTGCGTGCTCTAGGCCACAGGTTCTTGGATGCTGCTTTTTGATCAAGTTGGCCTATAACCAAGTTTGGGGAGTTAAGTAATGGAACCCACTATTTGGCTATAAATAAAATAATTAAAATAAAAACATTTTTTTATCATTATATATTTTTTTATTATAATTTCATTTATCATTTTATGTATTAATATTTTATTCGGTTAATAGATCTCACATTCACATTTAAATGCCAACTCCAAATACATGTTTTGAATAATAATGATTCATTTTTTAAAAAAAAATATTAGGGTAAATATTAAAATGAAATAATTATCTTATAGTGTCTCTAAAAATGAGAGCTTTCACAATAGGAATATTTTAAAATTTTCTTAATAAATATTGGGCGACTTAGTAGTTGCGTTGATCAATCGTGCAAGAAACAACCAACTAAAACGGGGAAGGGAAGTGACGAGGACAGTAGATA